AAAATAAACAGGGATTATTATTCTCATTTTACAGATGAGAAAACCAAGCCTTGGAGAGGAAGAACAGAGGCCCATAAGCCCTCCAGAAGAGCCAAAATTCAAGATCTGTCTAGGGAGCCTCCTACTCCAAGGCTCTAGCTAGGACCCCAGTTTCAAGAAACTTACATGCATTATGTTTATGCTCTTGTTGAAAATCTTCACATAGGGCTTCAGGATATTGAAATGGAAGGCAGGTGTCAGCATTCGACGGTGTTGGCTCCACTTGTCACCACCACTCAGCAGGAGTCCATCTCCTAGTAGGACCATCCAAGGGCAGTGGGCAAGGAAAGTGCCTTTCTGTGACCCCAGCAGGTTGTCCCCACCCCTATTCATCTGTGCTTACTCACCCAGCCATGGCTTCATGAACCTGGCAGCAAGTTCCTCCTTCAGTGCAATGGCAGCTGACATGAATGAAGACAATTAGGGGACATGGAAAAGGGAATGCAGAGGGGCTTAGGGTGACATGTGGGGGCTCCCAGCCAGGGGCTTGCACTTCCCTCCTCCATGCCCAGCATAATGGAAAGGGGGAGGGGCAAAGGAAGCAGGTAGGATGATGGATGGGAGGAGGAGACCTAGACCAGGCTCCAGCAGACATTAGAGCAACAACGTATCCTAACCCGGCAGAGCATGCTCTATCATGTCTTGACACAGCAACGCATGATCCGACATGGCCACAAGATCCAAACATAGCTCAATACCGTACAAAACACCTTCTCAGGAGCCTGGGACACCCTGTCTGCCCCAGAACTCTCTGACATCTCCTGACATGGATCTGAGACATGTGACATGGCCCCAGTGTGTTAGCATGTCCTGACATGGCCACAATATACATTACAGGCCCTAAATGATACTACTTGCTTTGAAATTTATCTGAAATCTCATGGATGAGCCCCAGGTAGGATTGAAATACAATTCTATTCATGTTCCAGATGTCTACCAAGTGTGACCCAGCCTGTGACCCAGATATGATCTGAATATACCTCTAGCCCTGCCTCAGGCAAGACTCATGTCTCAGTTCCCAAATCCAGGTCCCAGAATTCAGACAAGCACCAAATATGACATAGATGTGACAAGCAGGAGAAAAAGAAAGTTGCAAATAACATTTCACATAAGAACCAGATAGGCTGTAACATGTTCCAAGTGACCTTGGCTACAGTTGAATCCCAGACATGACAATAACTATATGATTCCAGGTGTAAGCCAAGTGTAACATGTAGCAGGTGCAACCTGGACCCAGGTGTAAAAAAAACATGTGACAAGATGTGTACAATATACTTGGCCATAGAGCAGACCTCACAACATATGCCCAGACATGAGCAGACAGGACCAGAAGTCAGAAAGGTGGAAGTTCAGGGGGAGAGAGGAGCAGTGGCATCTCTGGCACAGCCCATCCTGTCTGCACTCAGGTCACCAAGACCTCAGCAATGGGCAAGGTGAGGCTAGTGTCTGTCTGGAGTAAAGAGCACAGGGTCAATCCAGGTGGGGTGAAAGATGCACAGGACCACAGACCAAGGTCCCACCCACCAGAAACCCACATTTTCAAAAGTGCTGCCTGGGCCCTGTGTATATAGGAGATCTTCCTCCAGACTCAGAATCTGGAGAAAGACAAACAGGGCCCAAGTCAAGCTCTTCTAGCCTGCCAGAGAGAAGAAAGGTAGTCTCTACGAATTTCATCCAACATCTCATCAACCTCTGTTCTGAGCATCCTCCTAGGCAGCCTCTCCACCTTCTCAAACACAGCAACCAGGGTGCCTCAGTTACAAGACAGAAAAAGTCCTTGCCCTTTTGGATCATGTTGTGGTTTAAATGTCTGTCCCTCTGAAACTCATGTTGAACATTAATCCCCAATGTGGCAGTATTGAGAGATGGAGCTCTCAATTAATTGATCCATCTGTGGATTAATGGGTTTTTGTTGGAGTGGCACTAGAGGAAGAGAGACCTGAGCTAGCATGCTCAGTCTTCTTCCCCTGTGATGCCTTCTGCCATGTTATGACACAGCACAAGGCTATCACTGGAAGCTGAGCAGATATAACCCTGCAAGCTTAAACTTCCAGTCCCCAGAACTGTAAGAAATAGATTTCTTTTCCTTATAAATCACCTAGTCTCAGCTATTCAGTTACAGAAACTGAAATGAACTGAGACAAATCCTAAACGCCACGTTCACCTGTGCTCTCTTTCATCCCATTTTCCAGATAAAGTAAGACTCTGAATGACAAAGCCCCTTGCCCATGAGCTCCTTGGTAGTAAGTGGCATGCCTGAGACCTAATCCTGAGTCTGTCTGAATCCAGGGCCTGAGTTCTTGATTATCAGAGTACTTTATGTCCCAAAATAATAGCTCTGGTTGGGACAAGTCAGATGATGCCCCATACCTGCCAAGCTGGGCAATCAGAGTAAGAGCAATCAGATGAGGAATTTGTCCTATAACCCTGGCAATCAGAGTACGAGCAATCAGATGAGGAATTTGTCCTATAACCCTGGCCGGGACAACCACAGAAACATGGATTACTTATGGAAAGGCTGGGGAAGGATGAGATTTCCAGAGTTTCTAAAACCCTTGAAAGGAAAAGCAATACAGAAAAAGGTAAAACCAAGAGGGGGACAGATTGCAAAAGACAGATTATTTCAGACCTGGATCCAGCCATGCCTGAAGGCCACATGCTTGAATCTGGACTTCCCAGTCATTAGATTTCTTTTCTTTTCTCAGACCACATGAGGTTGAGTTTCTGTCACTCACAACTCTCAGAAACTCGAGAGACTTGGGTCTCTCAGCATTTTGGTGTCAGAGCTTTACTCTCTATGCAATCCTGGCCACTTCCCTGATCAGTACGACCTATCCAAAGAAGGGAAGGGTAGGGGCAAGGGAAGGGCACCAGACTCTAGTGTGGTCTCCCATTATAGATTCCTGGTCACTGAAGCAGAAGAGCAATGAACTCATGGAAGGTGAACCACAGGATGGGGCAGAAGGAACTGAGAGTCAAGGAGCATTCCTCTCATTGCTCTGGGCTTAGAGATGGGCAAGGCTGATACCAGACCTGGAAGGGAGCCTGGCATACTAATGGTGCCCATTGCATCACTCTGCCCTCCACTTAAAAAAATTCATATTCATTATTCCAGACCCAACTCTAACAACTCCTCCTCCAGGAAGCCTTCCAGCCTGTCCCACCAGAGACTAAGTTCTCCTCTGAGCCATCATAGTCCATCCTCCTCTGGGGCTTTCCTGTTCATGTGAAGTTGGGGAATTCCTCTGGGACAGGGATTTGGGCTGAGGACTTGGGAGGCCCCAGTGTTGCCTAGAATACCCGGAAAGGGAGCAGATGGCAGGGCAGGAAGGAGACACTGAGGTGGTGGCTGGTAAGTAGGTGAAGGGAAGAGGAAGATGGATGAGAGAGAAGAGGGAAGGAGGGGCCGGGTTACAGAAGAGGCTACACAAAAGTGTGTGTGCAGGGGAAGGGGCTGGAAGCCCTCAGGTATGCCACGGTGCCCACCACCACAAGCTCTGCATGGGTACCTGAGGCATTCAGGACAGGTCGGACGATGTCAGGGTGGCACAAAATGATGATGGGGAAGATGGGTCCCAGCCAGGATTTAAAGCCCTTGGGGTAGGTGGCCACCAGCTGAGTCAGTTCCCTCAAACCTTCCTCTGTAGGGGGAATCTGCAAGTAAGGCAGGAACTGTTACCTCCTATGATGGTTAATTATGAGGTGCCACATGACTGGGCTAAGGGATGCCCAAATAGCTGGTACATTATTTCTAGATGTATCTGTGAGAGTTTCCAGAAGAGATTATCATTTGAAATGGTAAACTGAGGAAGAAAGATCTGCCCTCTCAACGTGGGCAGGCACCATCCAATCCATAGAAGGCCTCAACACAACCAGAAGGCAGAGGAAGGGTGACTTGGCTCTGTCTTTTGGAGTTGGGACATACCGTCTCCTGCCCTTAGACACCAGAACTCTGGTTTCTCAGACTTTCAGGCTCAGAGTGAATTATAGCACTAGAGTCTCTGGATCCCTGGCTAGCAAATGGCAGATGGTGGGACTTCTCAGCCTTCATAATCACATAAGCTAATTCCCATAATAAATTCCCTCCTATCTATCTATACCTATAGCGAGGTCTATGTGTCCTGTGGCTTTGTTTCTTTGTGGATCCTGACTAAGACACCTTCCTCAGGAGGAGCCACAGCAGGTATCCCCTGCAGCCTGTGGGCATGGTGCAAAGGTATGCAGCAAACAGTTTGCCTGGTTATGCAGAGTTGGAGGGAATCTCTGCTTTCTCCTGCTCCTTCTACCTTGGGGCCATCACCTAATGTCAAAAGTACATCCCAGGGCAGAGGAAAAGGGCACATTATCTTCCCACAGAGGGGCCCACCTTGGGTTCAGAGGAAAAATTTTTTTGTCCTTGGTGTGGTTTCAGACTGGGGGCAGACATATGGGGAGGTCCCACAGAGGGAGCTGTGAGCAGGAGCGTGACTCAGAATGTGTCTCTATGGCTGGTTACCACATCCTTTCATATCCTGGCTGGTCTACATGGGCTTCAGATCCTCCTGAAGAGAACAGTCTGCACCCTGGGGACCTTCCAGTAGCAACTAGCCTAGGGGAGTAGAGGGGAGCTCTGACTATCTATCAAGACTGTGGCTCCCACCTGTAAGCACCTTCTGCACACCAGATTCTGTGCACAATGTGTTCTGTGCACTCTCTCACTAAACCTAAGGACATGCCCATCACTTGTGCCATTGGAAATGAACAGATTGAGACCAAATCCTACAAAGGAGATACCAGGTCTAAATCAGAGGGCAAAGAGTAGGGGAGTAGGTTTAAGAAAGTCTCCTGAAAGGAAAAGTGAGTGGCCAACACTTATCCAGGTTGCACAGCAGGGCCCAATGGGACATCTTTGTGGGGAAGAGCAGGATAAGAGGAAGGTGCCCCAGGAAGGGTAGGGGGTGAGACACTGCCCACACTTCTCTCCTGCACCAGCTGTGCCCCTGTGTATTTGAGATGGGGTTCAGAGTGTGGTAGCTAATTCCTGTGGAAAGCAGAAGCCCGGCGAAGGGCAGACACAGGAAATGGGCCAAATAGGGAGCAGACCCTGGAAAGTACCGTTTGTGAGGGCTCAAGTCCATCTGTGGAGACTCTGGTAACACCAGGGGCTCCCTGCTCTGTGCAGCCTCCCTGGGAGCTCCTCAAAGTTCACCAGTGTGAGGAGAGAGGAGCTGCCTCTCTCACTTCTCTGCTGTCCCACACTCCAGCCCACCCTGATCCTCAGCTCCCTGAGCCCCCTTCCTGCCCCCGGAGAAATCCACCCAACTTGATAACCCCAACCTGTCCTGCTACCACACTCACCAAGCCCAAATGACCCAAGAACCAGTTCTTCATTGGGGGCTGCAGGAAACAGCGGAGGCGGAGGCAGTTGTCATAGAAGGTGTAGGTCCAGGCCAAGACTCGAGCCAGGAGCCAGGAGGTCCCAACCAGCAGCAGCAGCAGCCAGGGAGAGGCTGCCACTGGCCCCAGGCCCAGCGAGGACAGGCTCAACTGTGTCATCTGCAGGACAGAGGTGTGGAGGGGGAGTTCCTGAGGTCCAGGAAAGGGAAAGGGAACTTTAGATCAGTGCAGAGGGGCAGGGATAGGGAGGACTCAGAGAGGAAAGCAGGGACCCCAGTGGAAGATGTAAAGTGAGAGAGAAGAAAAGGAACAGGAGGGGGGGAGAGAAAGCTGATTACAATCCAGAAAGGCCTAGCCAGAATCACTCAGACATTGCCAAGGCCTCAGTTACTAGGAAACCAATATTCCCAAGGACACATTCCTGGAGCCATTCCAGCCTTGGGCAGCTCCCCTTGCCTGATCCTGGACCAGGACCCTCCAGCCCCACCACCCCCAGCCTGGTACTTTCTCTCAGGAGCAGCTTGTCCACATAAATTCCTCTTCCTCTCTGCTGCAAGGTCTTTGCTCCTACTCCCTGAAAAGAGGCAGCTATAGGCGGGTTGTGCTGGGCTGGGCCATATCTGGGCAAGTGACCAACACATGGGGTGGGGAAACAGCTGCTTGTGATGACACAGCACAGGCACTGGGTCCTTGGGTTACAACGCTTCCCACATGGGGTGTGGGGATAAGTCAGGGGCTATCAAAGGTGGCTCTGAGCTCCAAAGTTCACAGGCTAGGGTGCGGCAGATAAAAACATGAGCTTGAAAGCTCTCGTGCCAGGTGAGCAGGCCCAGCATAACCTTGTCCCTGATTATCTCCTGAGCTATGCAAAGGTGGGCCTGGAGGACTTCATGTACCATTTCTTGATGCAGAATTAGGAGGCTGAGAGACAAAAGCCCATGGGCCCAGGCTGCACAGCCTGGCAGGAGTTCAAGTCCTGCCTAGAGGCAGCCCAGGGCCTGGATTAAGACAGGACTGCTAAGAACAGAAAGAAACAAAGAATCCAGCCTTGCTGGCAATTATGCTGGTCAGATTCTAGTGATGAAGAGCTCAGTTGCAAGGGCAAACCTGGAGGCTGTATTCAGTGTCAGAAGACAGAGCAGAGAAATGAGGGTTTAAGCTGAAAGGGGCTGTGAGCAGATGGGATCCAGGAAGGGGAAGGCAAAGCCAGCTAGGGAACCCTCAGTGGAGCCCTCATTCTGCCTCATCCTAGTTTTGACTGTGGAAAGTGCTGTTCATCCTGGGCTCAGTCTTCCCATCAGGAAGAGGGGAGACAGAGAATGGCTCTACAGAGTTGGGAGCCCCAAAAGAAAAATTAAAGGGAAGGTGCTGGCTAGTAGCACTAGAGTTGCTATGGGCCAGTGCATTACTCTGTGCAAAAGATACTCTACATAAATCCTGTCTGCTGTGTGCTAGGTGCTCTACATCAACTGACTCTGAACATAGTACTTTATACAAAGTTTATCTAACTTTGTCAAGTGCTCTATGTAAAGCATGCTTATTGTGTGTTAGATGGTCTACATAAAGCATCTACTATGTTTTGTGTCTACTATGTGCTTGGTGCCTACATACAGTGCACCTACTATGTCCCAAGTACACTACATAAATCCTGTTGGCTGTGTGCCAGGTGCTCTACCTAAAACATTCCTCCTATGTGTGCCAGCCACTCTACATAAAGTATGCCTAATGTGTGCTGGCTACTCTATATCATATGCTCCTGCTGTGTGCCATGTGCTCTACATAAAGTGTGCCTACTGTGTGACAGGTGTTCTATATAACACGGTCCTACTCTCTTCCAGGTACTCTATATAAAGTGTGCCTTCTTTGTCTTGGATGTTTACCTGCACCACAATGCATAATGTCTTTCCACCATTGTCCCCTCAACTCTCCAGCCAGACCATCGGATACTGATGGAGAGAGACCCAAGTGATAGCCTCCAGAGGAGGGAAGACACCCATTTAATGAAGGGCAAACTGAGGTCCAGAGAAGTCAAGTTTCTAGTCAAGTTCTGTTTTTGCTTTCCATTTCTTTTCATCTTTGTGCTCTTGGGCTTGTTCAAAAGCTTTGTTGTCAATGTCAGAGATCCTTTCTTTAGCCTGTTTCACTCTGGTACAGAGGGATTCTACCATATTTTTCAAATCTTTGAGGGCTAGGAACTCTTGCCTCAATATTTCAAAATCTTTAATCATTTTATCTTTGAAATCATTGAATTCTTGAGACATCTTTTGAATAATTTCTTTAGATATCTTTTTTTAAATTTTTTTTATTAGATCATAATTGTGTACATTAATTCTATCATAGGATACAGTGTGTTGCTTCCATATGCAGTTTGGAAAACTCTCATCCAACTGACTAACATAGCCATCATGTCCTTCTCATAATTGTTGTGTTAAGACATTTATATTCAACCTTCAGACAAATTCACATGTACCCTAATAGGATAAATCATAGGCATGATCCCCATGATATCATTCTCTTCACCCATCCTCCCCCTCCCCTCCCCCTCCCCTTTCCCCATAGTCTAGGGCTCCATTTGGATTGTAGCTTTCCTAAGATAGCTAACAATTAGTTTCATAATAGTGTTGAGTACATTGGATACTTTTTCTTCCATTCTTGAGATACCTTGCTAAGGAGGACATTTTCCAGCTCCATCCATGTAAACATGAATGAGGCAAAGTCTCCCTCTTTCTTTGTGGCTGTGTAGTATTCCATGGTGTACATATACCACAATTTATTGATCCATTCATGGGTCAATGGGCAGAAACAACAGGAACTTGCAGACTCAAACAAAATAATGGAAGCTAAATAACCTTATGCTCAATGACACTTGGGTCAAATATGAGACCAAGAAGGAAATTACCAAATTCCTGGAATTAAACAACAATGAAGAGATGGGTTATCAGAACTTCTGGGACACCGCAAAGGCAGTCCTAAGAGGGAAATTTATCGCACTGCAAGCCTTCCTCAAAAAAA